ATAATAATAGTCAATATCGCTAACGTAAAATCTTTACATAAAGAGCACTTACATGCGGGACCGGGTTGCATGATGGCGGGGTTTGGTGGGGCTTGGCTGACGTGCAAAGTGACACCTCCGTCGTCCTTGGTGGTGAAAGTGTGGTCCAATTCAGCACTGCGCTGGCCAAAGTTGATAGCGTGAGTGGAGAATCCGGTCTTGATGAGGACGACCTTGATGGTATTAGCGTTTCCAATGTTGTCGAACAAATCAGCCTTGGTGAGCTCCAAGTTGAAGTATTGTCCACCATAGGTGAGAGAAAGAGGGATTCCAGCTGGTTCAGGGCGGCGTTTGTTATAGTACCAAGGATAGAATCGCTCTACACGGTACTCGGTTGGGTAGACGGCATCAATGTTATAGTCAGGGTGGGGGTTGCTACCAGTGACAAAGACGGAACCGTCGGGCAACAAGGTCGCTGTCGAGTGATACATGCGGGGGATGGTGGAGTCCTTGAGTCCTTCACGAGACCATCTCTTGCCAGAGGGCTTGTTGGGGTCGTAGATCAGAGGGCTGAGAATCGGGTTGTTGGCATACGAATCTTGTTGTGTCCAGGTTTCATTTCCGTAACCTGCGACACCAGTGTTGGCACCGTTTACGACGAAGAGTGTGCCATCAGGTAAGATGATAGCGTTACCCATAGTACGTCCCTCGGGAAGAGGATCTTCATCCACAAATTCGTTCGAAGTCTCTGGGGTGATACTGATGCAAGAGTCAGAGGCCGGGACATCGATGAGCACGATTCCAGATGTCCATTGACCAGGCTGCAAGTCGCTACCTCCACAGTACATGACAGTGGCGGTCCAGTTGTTGGCGACTGTCATTGGAAGCATGGCGTTGGCGGCACTGGCGGGGTATGTTCGAACGGCATGAGGAACCTCGGGGAGGGGGAACTCGGTGTTGGACTTGTAGTCGAGCACGGCAGCGGCAAGGTTGATGTTTAGCAGGATTTGTCCAGTTGGCAAAAGGTGCATGATGGGGTACAAGTTGGCGGGGAGGGAGTTCTTGAGAATGTTGCTCTCGATTGGGTTCTCTCCTGTCTCCTTGGGCCAGTACTCGTACGTCGGGTTGCTGTTGGCAGCACTGGAAGAGAGTTAGAGAAGTGATTTAAACCTAATAAGATATGATACTTACTCGTTGACGAAACCTCCGTATTGGTTACCACCCATAACTTTGAAAATTCTTAGTCGAAGAAACGAGAAAAAGATGAGGGTGACACTCACTGAGAATTCGTCCAGTTTCGATGGTTTCTAAACTTGGGTACCATCTTCGGGTGGTCCTAAAAGAGAGATAAGCCGTGGAATTGGTCGAGAGGCTGATTCAACGTACAAGTCCTGGGCTGGGTCGTCATACCATTCTGCACCCTCTCCTGGTGTGATGACACGAGCTGCAAAGGCACCGTCACCATTTTGGTAGGTGTTGGTACCGTTTTGATTAGCAGCGGTAACACCTTGAGGATCCACAGCTTGATTGCCGCCAATGTTGAGCCAATCTCCGTTGCCTGTTCGAGCGAGTTTAGAAGTATTCAAAGCGTAATTGGACATACGTACCGAGTACGTTACCTCCGGCACAGAAGGTGTTGGTCTTTGCTTCTAAAGGTTTCGCCTCGTTCGTTTCAAGATCGTACTCGGAAGCCCATGCTGGGTGGCCGTTAACAGTTATAGGATTAGCCTCCACTTTATCTATAATATAAACCTATTAAAAAAAGCGCATGGCAACATTAGCGGCGGGCGTTGATTATTTTTGGCACAATATGAAACGGCAAATACCTTCGTATCCGATCCTAAGAATAATTGCTGAGCAGAAACACCCGAGTTACCAACAATCTCGAATCCCAAGATCTTGTCGTCCGAAACGGTGTGGGTAGGTTGTCCGGGCTGCACTGTAGACGGCGCTCGGCGTGACAACCGGCGAGGAATGCGCTCTGAGGTCCTTGGGACGACATAGTCCCTTTTTGTAACATGTCTCTTGGGGTCCCAAGGTTCTGCAGTTTGTACTCCGAGGGCTGGTTGGAGGAGGACGAGCGACAGGGCAAGAAGGGACGGCAAGCGAGGAGCCGTCGACGAAGACATTGTAAAGAGAGAAATTAGCGAGAAAAGTTAGGGAGCTTGATTTATTGATTATGGATAGATAAAGAACGTAGATGGCAAGGAGCGTTAGCAGAGGCCCGCTGAAGATGACGGGGGTTGAGTTCAAGGTTGGCGAAGGGTCGGCCTTTTAAAGTGACACCCAAGTCCCGCACACCCGCGAAAATCGTCTCAAAAAGGGATTTTGCGTCTTTGTGTGTTCTGTGTATTCGGAAATGATTCTCATAACTAAACATATACATTTGCCATGGCATTGTAATTGTAGTCGTGCCGCAGAAGGCGAGAAAAGGGATCACGTGATCCGTCTCGGCGTTGGTCTGGGTATTTATAGAGTGACTAGAACTACCCGCCAATCAGTTTTACCCTGACACCATGCCGCACTTGCCTGTTGATGAATTGTGTCGACTATTTTCGTCCTCCGCGGATGCTGACCTGCTGCCAGGGAACAAGCGACCGGATTTTGGACGGTGACTCGCACGCCGCCCAGAAGTGTTTCACACGGACGACCTCGGCACCTCCAGAGTCTGCCTAGGCTAGAGTCTCGTCTTCCAGCTCTCCC